AAGAAAGCACCGTCAAGTGGCACGATGAGAGCCTCTACACCCCCAACATATGGATTACATGTCAGAAGAAAACACCGTCAAGTGGCACGATGAAAGCTTCTACACCCCAGTATAAATTACATGTCAAAAGAAATCACCGTCAAGTGGCACGATGAGAGTTTCTACGCGTCCAGCTTACAAGACCTGTTACTTTGCAGGGAAAGAAACAAGATTCCCTGGGTCTAAGGCCACAATTTCAGTGGAAGATGGGTCAACGGCTAGATCTGATGTCAATAGCCCTTCCTAATCAGGAGAGATGCGGTAACACATCTGAGAAGTTTGACCTATCAGAACATTCCATTTTTGCTTTTTAGCACGGATTGTTTAGTCATTGAAATACTTTTTAATTTGTTACCTGAGTTGAATGCGAAGTTAGAGCACTTTCACACATTATATAAGCATAAGCCAACCATTATTGATGGCATTTAATTACTCCTTTACTAAAAATACTGTACCAGGAGTCAGGTCAGTTCTATTTAATTGCGAGATCCTCTCGAACTGGGAGCTTTGCAAGAGATTTACTTTCACACTCATCATTTTTTACGCAATATTGAACTGAAAAACCAATATATATATCTTATATATAATGCTACTTATCTTTGTTTCCACGTGTTTGCTGCTTTTCCTTGCCAAATGTTCTCAGAGCTCATGGTTGGGAAGCAAGAAAGAAGAAAAACAAAAGTTCCAAGAGGGTTATAAAAAAGTGTTACTCCTCTCACTTTCAGGTGAACCACTGACTCTGACTTTTATAATTACAGCACAAGAATGGCAACACATGGAAGATCCATATGATGGCATTTCCGCTTTATATCTTGCCCAAAAGATTTTTGCCTTTACTGCGCCTTGATAAACGACTTGATTTTGCTAGCTATGTTGATGATGTAAGTGATGTGCTCTTCTGGCTTCATGATCTTGTACTCATGTCACTAGCAATTTCAAGCAAGCTATACACACACCTTTCTTGTACCGCCTTTTCTCAGAAGTGTGCGGGAAAATCTCAACAATCACCTAGGTCTGAATAAGACCTATTTTTGGTCTTTTGATGCTTCTGGCATGGAGGCTGACTCTTGATAATAGGCGACATTTTACCCGCGATAACTGAAGAGATGAGCTATGCTATTCACAGAGAATTAAATTCATCAGAAGGTCATTCCCTGCAAAGTAATTACAGACACATTTGGGCTAATATTTCTTCACAGACTGGCAGCCAATTATAGCCTTTGAAAAAGTTCTCCGTGTAATAGGGCTTGTTTCTGGAAGGGTCAATGTTGGGCTACCCACAAGTCGCACTGATGAATGGCTCAATCTTTACATTCAGTATCCCATTGAGGTATTTTCAGCACTGTCAGAAATCTGCAAATTTCCCAAGATACTCCGCCCAATTGCACAGCACATTATACCTCAGATCAGACGAATTAAGCAGATTCAAACCAGAGTGTGTGAGATCCTGGCACCAGAGTATGAGTCCAGGCGCAGTACACTAAAAGGCGGAAAGGATAGAGCAAAGATTGATACTATGCTTCAGTGGACATGGGAGAATTCAAAGGAAGAAGAACGGACAGACACATTCCAAAGCCGCATGCAGATTGTCTCAGCTGTTCCTACCCTTTATACTGTTTCTCTAGCAGCGACACAATGTATATTCGACCTAGCAATGCGGCCTGAGTATATTCCAGCTATCAGAGATGAGTTTGACTCTGTTTTGGAGAGTTTACAGGGTAACATCAACAAAGAGGCACTGGGGAAACTGGTAAAGCTGGATAGCTTTATGAAGGAGTCTCAGCGTCTAAACCCTCTATCACTTGGTGAGTGGTCCTGAACATATGCAAAGTTACATCACAATGGCACCTGCTGAACTTTCTTTATATGAAAGCTTCCTTCGAGAGAAAAACAAAGGAGGCAATCACACTTCCAGATGGCACATTCCTTGCCAAAGGCTCACATGTCGCGGCTCCTGCATATTCCATTGGTCATGACCAAGAATTCTTTGAAGACCCTGAGAATTTTGATGGTCTCAGGTTTTACCGTCTCCAAGCCACTGAAAATAATCGGAGACCCATGCATCACTATGTTTCAGTCAGTGAAACTTCACTTGGCTTTGGGTATGGTCGGCATGCTTGTCCAGGTCGATGGTTTGCTGCAATAGAAATCAAGTTATTCCTAGCTTTCCTGACACATGATTATGACATTGAGGCTGTTGAAATAGGTGATGACCGTCCTAGAAGCACCATTGATCAATTTTTTATCTACCCAGATGCCTCGAAGATGGTGGCTTTGCGACGCAGAAAGTTCTAGGAATGTAATTTGTTCTTCATATATTCTATTCTGCAACAATAAAATGTCCACCAACCATTGAGTGAGAAGAGGATTTGTCAAATAAACACAAACATCAATGCTGCTTTGTACATGTAAACTCCATTGTAATAATTAGTACATTCTCCTATATTCCATTTCAGGGTTATGGTAAAATCTGTTATGGGGTTTTTTTCTGTAAAAATCCAAGAAATGACAGTTTGGCCAAGGCCAGCACAGAACACAACCAACACAGGGCCAAAACAGACTACCAGTGGCTCTTTGTACAACCCCTGGCATACAAGAATGTTCACTAGGGATAATATTCAGAATGCTATTCCCGTACAAGCATAAAGCCTGCTGCCATCTCTGCTCTGTGTTCTTTTTTTCTTCGGTAATTTTCCTTGCATAATAAAGGGTAGCTTTAGGTGAGAACAACTTAAGTTCAACCCCTATCCCATGGAGCATTTGACTGAGCCTGAGTCAAATTTGGGACTTGTGACGACTCATATATGACGGCTCATATATGACGGCTCAACACTGCAGCAATGAATGATACATCGCAAATGCTGCTACTCAACCATGTCGGCAACAACCTCTATAAAACCCCTTCATTACCTAGATAGATTTCCTCTTCTCTTTTCTTCTCTAGATTCGATATTTTCGTCGATGGCTACAATAGTTTAGATAGGAATATCGATTCATTATTATCTACTATTCCGAGCCCGTGACATAATATCGAATCTCGCCCTTTTTTTTTTCTTAACACGTTTGCTTCATTGGTTCGATCCAGTAATCGTGGAACCATAGCAGCGTGTCCCCCATACCGATCGACTGAAGAAACCGAATTGATACCGATAACCGATTGATACAACGACCTTCGCCAACATGCCTCGCACGAGAAACACTGTTGCCCCTACTGGAGGCAACCGAAATGAGACGAACGATAATGATACCGGCCAAGAAAACCGACAGAACCCCATCTTCATTGATGATGATGAGGATGAAGAACAACGTATGGTGACTTTGGAGGAGTTCTTGCAATACGCCTCTGAAGAGCCTGAATGGTTATATGATAAGCTTCAAGTGACTCACAAACGATATGACGACCGCCTTGAAGACCATAAGGTCCGTCTTGCCGAAGAAGAACTCCGCTGTCAAACCAAGGATGGAGAAATCACCCTTCTGCGCCGCAAGATTGGAGAAATTGAGGACGTCAAGCAGCAGCTTGTTGAAGTGAC